TAACCTTCAGGGTGGCTATAGCTCTCTAGCAGCCTCGCACCGATGACCTACCCACGTCATCATTTACCCAGAATGCCTTGCGTGTAAATAAAATGGCCCCATCCGTGTAATATATTTTTAAACTTTTAGTTTAAAAATTATAAAAACTTTACATCCTACAGCATTTTTACTGTCTTTATTTTACAGTTAAAGTAAATGTTTAAAGTCTAATGTTACAACTAATCGGGGATCCCTTTAAATAATTTAAATGAGGTCTCCATGTCAACCCTTCATCTATCACTACACCCAAGAACTTCACCTCACTGACTTTACAAATCTCAACCCCATCGACTCTAAATGGAACATCAGTAGTTTTCTTTCTATTATTAAATACCATATAATTAGTTTTCTCCAAATGTAATCACAACGTATTAAGTCTAAACCAAGTTTGTTCGATTCATTGTGTTATTGCTGTATGGTTGGCTGATTAGCCATTTTATTAATAAACAATTGAACAAATGCACCAAATAGTGTCAAGTGAATGTATACCAACATAATAAATATGACATAAATATGGCAGATTGGATTTTTAAAAAAGAGATCAAAATTCATCCATTTATTGTTTTTTATATATAATTTTATATAATCTTTGTGTTGACCTTTTTTTTCTGGAAAAGAGACAGTAAACAAATGACAGTGTAACCACTCATGACACAAGTGTGAGAGGAAAGTATGTTTTACACTTGTGGGTTCCAGTGCTGCAGAAAGCATCTGGCTTTGCTGGCAAAGTCTCCTTTCTTTGCTCTTGATCGACACAGCACACAAAAGTATGTATAAGCGCAAACACACATACACACAAATCTATTCAGATTTTTCATGGAGGCCCCTGGAACACTGGTAACATTCTTTGTGCTATGTTAGGCTAAAAACAGGCTCAGTGCAATACTCAATAGACAGGGGTTCCTCTATATACTGTATCATGGTATATAGCATGGTTGTTGGACACATGCAAAAGGGACACATATGGATTCACTTGTTAATCACTCTGCCACAGAAATGCTGGGATCGTTAGATGTTCTCTATACCGTTCTGATCCAGAAGGTAACACCCAAGTTGTGTGCATTTTCATCTTCATTATGAGCCCCTTATGTGAAGCGGGGTCATTTTTTTATTATTTATTTTTTCAATGATTTTTGGTCAACCGTATCATGGAAACTGCTGCACCGATCAACATGAAATTTGGCAGGAGTGTAGATGTGTTTGACCTACACTGCGCCAGCCAACAATTTTACAATAGACCCTATATTTGAGGAGGGGGCTCCATCTCAAAAGGGGGTATCTGGACATTCAAAATTGCATATAACTCAAAAACTATTAAACATAGAAGCTTCAGATTTTTTACTTTATTTTTGTTGTTGTTTAGCTCTACAATCTTGTGATCTCAAGATTGTGCGTACAAGCGGTTGAAATGAGTTTTTTCCACAGGACTCTACTTTAGAGATAAGAAGTGTAAGAAGAAGGGTAAGAYGTTCAGTTATCCGGGAAAGACTTAKAGTAGAGCCGCTGCTCCTCCACATCGATAAGTGGTTTGGACATCTGGCAAGGATGCCTCTTGGACGTCTCGCCAGGGAGGTGCTTCAGGCATGTCCATCTGGGAGGAGACCAAGAGGAAGACCCAGAACACGCTGGAGAGGCTATGTCTCTYGGTTGGCCTGGGAATGCCTTGGGGTCCTCCCAGAAGAGCTGGAAGAGGTGGCTGGGGAAAGAGAGGTCTGGGCTTCCCTGCTCAAAATTGGGCCCACTAATGAGCCCCCCCACCCCACTGACCCCCACCTAAAACAAAAAATCTGTTCTGGTGAGTTCTGGTGCATTGGTGCACTGCGTGGGTGCAGGAGTCATTCAGCAGGTAAAATAAATATTGAACACGTCACCATTTTTCTCAGTAAATATGTTACTAGAGGTGCTAATGACATGAAATTTTCACCAGATGT